GGGGGGGGACCACCTGCCTGCCTGGGCCAAAAAGGAAAAAAAAAAAGAAAAAAGGGAAAAAAAAGTTCTTGATTTGACAAAGAATGTAGATGTGATGCTGAGGCACAGTTTTTCAAATGTTTTTTGTTTGGGGGATTTTCAAACATTTTTTGGATCGTTTTGTCTTCTTTTTTTTAACAGGGACCTTCCCTGGTCCTTGCCTGGGCCGCCTTGCCGGGCAACCAAGGTAACCCAGGCGGGCTGGTGGTTAACCCAAGATTTTTGTCAGTGCTGTCAATTTTTCAATTTTACCAGGGGTTTTTTTTTTTTTTTTTTTTTTTTGTCAATTTTGAATTTTGTCGATGTGGTCCTATGTGGTCAGTTTGGTCTTTTTTTTTCAAATTCGTCAAATTTGACGAAAATGTCAAAATGCGGTCTTGAAGAGGACTAACCTGGTGTGTAAACATTTGTCGTTTTTTTTTTTCAAATTCGTCAAATTTTATGGTAACTTTTCCCAAAATTTGTCAATTTTGTCAGTTTTGTCAGTTTTGTCAGTTTTGTTCAATTTGGCCAATCGGGTCCAATTTTGTCTGGCTTCAGCGCTTGGAGAGTGCTAACCTGTTGCTGAAACATTTGGACAATTTTGAATTTTGAATTTACTCAATTTTTTGTACAAATTCTGCCAGCTTCAGCGCTTGGAGAGGGCTTTCGATGCTGTTAAGAAGGAATTGTTTGACAAACTTCATGACAAGTTGCGCTACCAGTTGTTCGACCCCGGCCGAGAGCATTTCCTACTGCCCGTTACGGCCAGCGCAGATCCGAGACCTCTCAATACACCCAGCCATGTAAACGGGTCTTCCAACGGTTCGTACAGCAACGGCGCATCCAACAACGGCTCGAACAACGGTTCGTCCAGAGACGTAGAATCGTCGGCAGAAGAGATTGTTCAAGCTGATAGTCGTTCGAACGCTAAGGTCAGCGGTCGTAGCTCTGAAGGGACCAGCCATCCTGGCGACGACCCTGCGAGGAATGACCAGGCGGCTGGCAATGGCAGGGGCGTGGGGAGATCGTGGGCAGAAAAAGACGTGAATGGCATGGGCAACGGTGCTGCATGGGAAAGAGATTCTTCATCAAACATCATCATCTTGAAAGATAATAAGGACATGCTGCAGCAAATGCGGCTGTCTCCGCTGAGGGGCCATGCTCACACTCGAGAGTATTCCAACTGACATGTGGATGTAGTTGCGACCAGGTGCATCAAGTGCGGAACTGACATATATTGACGTAATTGCGACCAGGTTAGGTGCATCTAGTCCGGGCCGTAAATGCGACCAGGTGGTGCATCAAGTGCAGAATTGACATGTCATTGTAATTGCGACCGGGTGCATCAAGTGCTGAACTGACATGTGGACGTAACGGCGACCAGGTGCATCTAGTCCGGGCCGTAAACGCAACCAGGTGCATCGAGTGCAGAATTGACATGTGATTGTCATTGCAACCAGGTGCATCAAGTGCTGAACTGACATGTGGACGTAACGGCGACCAGCTGCATCTACCAGGTGCATCAAGTGCAGAATTGACATGTCATTGTAATTGCGACCAGGTGCATCAAGTGCGGAACTGACATGTGGACGTAATTGCGACGAGGTGCATCAAGTACACAGTGAGCGTATACAGAGTAATTCCTCTGCCATTATTATTGCAGTAATTACTAATTACTCCGCAGTAATTATCATTGCAGTAATTACTCCGCAGTCGAGTAATTACTCTGTGTACGCTCTCTGCTGTAAATTGTCGATGTAACTGGTCTCAGGCGTGGTAATTACTCTGCGTACTCTCACTGCCGTAACTGGTCTTCGGTGCAGTAATTACGGCAGTAATTAAAATAAAATTATCCTTTTGTTTGCAGTATTTATCTCTTTGCTTATAGCGGCATCAAACTGGAGGGAGTCTTTTCCACTTGCCCACTCAAACATGTTCCAATCGCATCAAGTGCTAAACTGACATGTGGACGCAATTGCGACCAGGTACATCTAGTCCGGGCCGCAAATGCGACCACGTGCATCTAGTCCGGGCCGCAAATGCGACCAGGTGCATCAAGTGCTCGAGGTCGCTGGTTCGAATCGCATGCCGAACTTTTGACCCCATGGTATGGCTCAGTGGCGACAGAGAGAACGATGCAGTTGTGCAGGAAGGGAGTAGCGTATACGAAGAAGGCTTCAAGTTTGTGAAGTTGGTTGAGTCCTTTGTATGTAAATATGAGCTGTTGGGAGGGGTGGAGAAGGTTGATGGGTTCCGGGGGAGGTGGAGGTTGATGGGTTTTTTTGGGGGAGGGCGGGGGGCGGGGCCGAAGGTGAAGGGTACTGTGTTCGATGGGGGGGGGGGGAAGGGGAGAAGAGTGGTTGATATGTTGATTTACAATGTATATATTTGCTGAAAGGTTTGTTTGGGAGAGGGAGAAGGGGAGGGGTTGAACACAGATGAGGATGTAAATGTGACTTTATATACGGTGATGGAAATAGTGGGCCTCGCTGGATTACTCAACACTCGACATGTACCTGAACTGAAAATCAACTAGATACGTTTGGAGGGAGAGAGGTTTTGAGAATGTATGTATCTGTTCAAAGGTTCATTTGGAGACAGGGAGGAGGGAACGGTTCAGCGCAGACGAGGATGTAAATGTGACTTGTATACGGTGACGGAAATATTGGGCCTCTCCATGGACTACTCGACACTCTTACCTGTATCTGAACTGAAATTGGACCAGATACGTTTGGAGGGATTGAACGTTTTGAATGTACTCATACTGTATCCACTCCAGGTACATTTAGGAAAGCTGTGCGGTGGAACGAAGCCCATAATCGTAGGATTGAATAGTATGTGAATAAAGGTAGCTGGATATTGCCGCTATGATTGTTTATTACTTTTTTTTTCCTCTTTTTTTTTTTTCTTTTTTTTTTTTTTCTTTTTTTTTTTTGCGGTGCAAGAGGGTGCAGAGTGTGGCAAGGAGAGGGGGATGAAGACCGGTTGATGTAAGTTAGGATGTGGGACCCCTTTGGGCCCATCAGAATGGTACCGTTGTTTCTTCTCCCAGCAACGAGTGTGGAAGTGGATTTATTCAGAGTTCTGCAAAAACAAAAGAAACAAAAAAAAAAGAAACGTTCTGCGGTGCCATCAGGAATGTGCCGAATCGATCGCTGTTTTCTGGTTTGATGTTCTATAGTGGGGACCACCACCACCGACCTCTGCAACTTGTCGGCGACAGGCGCGTGGCATTTGGTTTGGACTGTTCCCATGGGATCGGTATATCCACATTTGGGCTTTGATTTTTAGTGGGGACAACCACTAAGCTCTGCAACTAGTGGAGACCACCTCCCTGTGAGTCTAGACATGGCAGTCCAAACTTCAAAGAAAATACTCTCTCTTTCTGAGGATTTATGAGGTCTCGGACTCAAGTTTTTCTGAGTTTTTGAACTGTTTTTTTTTCTGAGTTTTCTAAGAGTGTTTCTGAGTTTTTGAACTGTTTTTTTCTGAGTTTTCTAAGAGTGTTTCTGAGTTTTCGAAATGTTTTTTTTCTGAGTTTTTTTCTAAGAGTTTTCCCGAGTGTTTCTGAGTTTTCTAAGTTAGAAAAACTATTTCCAAGTCTGAAAAATCTCAAAAGGAACCAAAAGGAACTAAGGAAAACTATTTCTTAGTTCCTTCTGAGATTTTTCAGACTTTGAAATAGTTTTTCTTAGTTCGTTGAACTTAGATTTTTCAGACTTTCTGAGCGTTTTTCATTCAAGCGTTTCTGAGTTTTCTAAGTTAGAAACAGTTTTTCTTAGGTTCTTGAACTTTCTTCTGAGTTTTTTTTACACTTTTCTGAGTTTTCTTCTTCGGAGTTTTGGACTTTTCTGAGTTTTTTTTCTGGGTGTTTCTGAATCCTTCTTTCATGAAAGAGGAGGGAAACTCTTAAGAGAGTCGTGCAGTCCAGCGACAATGTGCAAAAGCGGTGGAATTAAGGTATTTCAGACTACTATTTCTATTTTTTTTATTTTTCAACTTTGAACTGTTCAAGGGTGTGTGATCTGCACGAAAAAGAAAAGCCGTCAATGATGTCATAAAATTTTCAGCGCCCAGACGTCAGCTCTGAGAAAGTGTGGTAGGACCGTACGTAGGAGTGAGGTCATTAATTTCTACCTCTCAAAAATGTGACGTGCTCTTCAATCATGCTCTCCATGGCAATGAGTTTGTGTTTCCACTCTCACCCTTGACTTTTGCGTCCTCTCTCTTCCCCCCCCCCCCCCCCCCCGCCGTCCCTCCTTTTCCTCGTCATCTCTATCAGACTCTATGTATGGAATATGTAGAACCTGCACTGCAATAACTACTATGGCCATCTTTTTTTGCCCAAATAGAACGGTCATTATAGCTGTATATGGTGCAGTTTTCAGTCTAGATACAGTGATAATGACCGGGCATTATTCTATTCCGGGGACGACGGTGGAATGCTGCCAATCATACTGCAGCATTGACAGTTACAACACCTTCGTCAGGAGGGCGCGCTCGCAGGAGGACATTCTCCACTTCTCCATGCGCGTAATTGCGGTCAGGTGCATCTGATCCAGGTCGGAAACGCAGTCATATACATCCAGGAAAAGTCCTACTGTGAGTATTCCCTCCGAAAGAATGGCTTTTGATTTTTTTTTTAAAATGCCCTCAAAGCAGCCATCAAAAAATTGTAAAGCATTACAGCGGTGCTGCAGCCTCGAGCTCTAGCGCCTAATCCAGGCTTCCACGAAGGCGCTGTAGTTTTGGACCCATTCAGATTGGCCTTCAGGTGACTCAGCAGCTGTGTTGTGTTGTTACCAGCCGGGCGGCCCGGGTTGCCCCAAATTGGCCGGGGTGGCCCGGTCGGGCAAGCTCCGGGCAGAGTCCCGGTCAACATCCCAGGCAGACCCAGCGTAGGAAGGGGAAAAAAAAAAAAAAAAAAAAAAAAACTGAAAACAAACAATGTCATGTAGAATCGCAGACCAAACATCTTTTGCTGGACGATGACCAGGAAGTTCTGTATGGAATCCGAAATTAAAAAAAAAAAAAAAAAAAACTAAAAATAAAATACTAAATTATCATACCCCTTTATGCTCTTTGAAACCCCTTTAAGCCCCCTTCGAGCCTTTTCGAACCTTGCTTATACCCCATAGACACCCTTTGGTGAGATATCACCGAACTCAAAGATAAGGCCAGATTTGCGCACATCTCAGTGGGCGCAAAATCACCCCACTTATTTTTTTATTTTTATTTTTTTTTCTTTGGCAGTGGGGTGATTTTGCGCCCACTGAGATGTGACCCCTTTTTGGTGTCACCCGGGTACACCGGGCGGTCACCCCCCGTGCAACTTCGCCCGGATCTCGCGGCCGGGCGACTCTGGTAACACAGGTCAGAAGGCAACTGCCTGTAAGATAAGTTCTACGATGGAGATGCTTCCAGGTGCTGGCCTATAAGTTGATTTATGAAATGAATTTTTAATTTTGAGGGGAGGGGGGGGGGGGGGGGGAGAGAAGGATTACAGCTGTGGATGGTACTTTATGTATTGTCTGTATACAGATGAGTGACAATAGTATGTATAAATATTAAATAATAAATACAGAATCATTTCGAATTTCTTTTAACACAAGGACCAGTGCAGCTTCGCCCATGAGGAAGGGATATCAGTGACGGAACTGAAATTAGCGGCTGTGAAATCCGAACAGTGTCCAAAATTGCGAGTATCGGAACTTCGAAAAACGGACGATGCATTCCAGAAAAAAATAAAGAACAAAAGAAAAGAAAACAGGAGGATATATGTAGGCAGGGTAAGCCATTCGTATATGGCCCTACCCAACTTGAGAATCAGAATTGAGCCTCTCCAAATTTTTTGGAGGATATTAAGACGAATAGACATGTCATGCACCGCAAAGGAAAACGCCGGAGCGCACACCGAAACCGCTGACCTGACCGTCCTTCGGGACATCCGTTAAAATTGGACCGATACAGATTAGTATGGCCCAGTTCAACTGACGCTCGAGTACCGTAGTTTCACCCTACCGTGTCCCAGTTCCACTGGCCAAGTACCGGGTTCTCCAAACTGTTGAATCTTGGGGTCTCAGGGACGGTTGTCTTGCCTTTGCGGTTCTTGAGCAGGGGCCGTGCTAATCATTCTCACTTACCTGCGGATATAACGATTAGTCATCTTAACGCAAGGCTAGACTAATGATTAGTCATTGTACCGTAACTTCCGTTAAGGCTAGACTAATGATTAGTCGTTGTACCGTAAGAGGCTAAGACTAATGATTAGTCCTCTAACCGTAAGACTAGACTAATGATTAGTCCTCTTGAGGCTAGACTAATGTAATGATTAGTCGTCCTTTTTCTTTTTCTTTTTTTTTTTTAAAGAACAGCCAAGCGGAAGCTAGGGGTGCTGGTAAGTCCTCTTACCGTAAGGTTAGACTAATGATTAATCCTCTTTTTTTTTCTTCTTTTTTTTTTTTTCTTTTCTTCTTTTTTTTTTTTTCTTTTTTTTTAAGAAGAGCCAAGCGGAAGCTAGGGGTGCTGGTAAGTCCTCTTACCGTAAGGTTGGACTAATGATTAATCCTCTTACCGTTAAGGATAGACTAATAATTACGGCAAGTGAGAATGATTAGTCCGTTTTACTGTGGCGGTTGCTACCTGCCTAAACTATCATTAGCGCAAGCTAGGAAGTAGACGTGGTTTGCGGAAGGACTGGAGGTTCATGGAGTTTGGAGTCGGCTTGAAGAGTTGTACCCTAACATTCTAGGGTTTTGGAGTCAGCTGGAAGAGTTGTACCCTAACATTCTAGGGTTTTGGAGTCGGCTGGAAGAGTTGTACCCTAACATTCTAGGGTTCTGTACTGGTTGACTCTTGTCTC